GCAGACCGGCATCGCCAGCTCGGCTCCAGAACGCCCGGCGCCGGGGGATCACTGTGGGTTGCTCAGTGCAGACCTGGCCTGAGTGTTGAGATCCGGGGAGGAGGGAGCCCCTCACCTCTGCCAGGGAGCCAGCGCTGCAGCCTCCTGGCATTGGGGAAACTGAGGCAAAGCGCAGGCAACTGACTTCAGACCCACAGACACGCCACATATCCGACTCAGCAAGAGAACCCAGGAGTCCCGGCTGCCCCAACAGGAGGGGGCTGGGCAGAGACGCCCATAAAGCCAACTTGGAGGGGACATTCCCCCTCCTTCCTGGCTGATTCGGGAGGAGGCCCCAGAGTGAGAACAGGGCTGGAGAGAGGCCCTGGAGGGGCTGGCGGGGAGCCCCTGGGAATTAAGGACAGTCGTTCCCATGCAGCTGCCTGGGAGCCCACGGCACAATGGGGCTGGGCCCCTTTGAATGTAAAAGGTCACCCAGCTGCCACCAGGTGTGGGGTGTTCCCCGCCCCCGCCCACCCTCCCAGCGGGCATCGAGTTACGATTCTCCAGCTCCGGGCTCAGCTCCAGCTCCCAGCCTCTCCCTTCGCGCCCCATGGCCCCGACATGTTACAAGGTGTCCGTGATGAATCACTGCCCGGGACGGAGACTTCTCTGCAGCGGGCAACCTCGCCCGACTCAGCGTGCCACGCTGCCAGCGGGCCAGGCGCCCGCCTCTGCCAGTGCCCCTCACTCCCGACCTGCAGCCCCTGCCAGCCCAGCCCTGCCGGTGCCCCTCACTCCCGACCCACAGCCCCTGCTAGCCCAGCCCTGCCGGTGCCCCTCACTCCCGACCTGCAGCCCCTGCCAGCCCAGCCCTGGGCTCCCCACCTCCAGATCTGCCAGTGCCCTTCACTCCCGACCTGAATCTAACTGTCCCAAGCATGGGGTGGAAATACCCCGCCCGGCTGAGCCACGGGCAGGCATGGGCCGTTCACAGGCTGTGACCCAGCCGCCGCCCTGCGTGCGTGTCTGAGACAACGGGAAGGGCCGTGATCGGAGGTGGCCTCCCCCACAGCTCCGGAGCTGCAGACACCGCACGGCCGGGGGTCCCGGGCCCAGCTGCCCCCTGCTCGCCGACGGGAGCCAGCGCTGGGCCGGGGCTGAGCCGCACAGAGCCAGACGCACAAATAAACAAGCAGCAAACGCAGACGGACGGCGGGTGGGGATGGGGGCGGGAGCGGAGCTGCGGGGCCCCGGCCTGAAGCCCTTGTCAGGCAAGGTCCTTGCGCCTCTGTGGATGCGCCGGGACCCAGGGCGCAGCACCCAGATCACCTGTATCAGACGGGGCCGGGCCCCCTGCCCTGTGCCCAGCCTGGGACCCACCCCAGCTCCCGCCCCGGCTCCCACTTCTTTGGCAGCCAAAGACCTGCAGGGATGAACCGGCTCCGTGTCATGACCCCAGAGGGGCGAAGGGACTTGTCTAAATTCACACCCAGAGTCAGCGGTGAAGGTGAAGGCGTGAGCAGAACCCAGGCGTCCTGGCTCCCCACCCACCCTTCCCCCAGCCCCGCTCTAACTCACCAGATGACCTTTCCACCCCCAGCTGTTACTGCAATGTCGGCATAGCTACAGGTTTCTCAGTCCAAACGATGAGATTATTTTAAATTGACATTTTACCTTAACCCCCCCCAGCCACCCCCACCCAAGCCCCGCCCAGCTGTCCTGCCCAGACTGCCAAGAACCCGACCCCCCGGGACAGCCGTGACCCACGCACAAAGCAATAACCACCCCGTCCCTGCAGGTAGCTGAGCCAGGCCCCACCGGCTCCTGGATGCCATTGGGGCCGGATTCTCCAAAGGGCGCAGCGCAGACATGTCACCCAGGGAATGGCCGAGCAGGGGGCCCACCTCTGGAGCCGAGCCCGGTGGCAGCTCCGCCCAGGGAGCCGGGCCAGGGGCTGGGTGCGTTCCTGCCCGGACAGGAACTCGCACTGGGTTAGTTAAATGGGAGCAAACCCATTCCTCAGCGACTTCAGCTCAGAGGGTCTGAACTGGTTTAACAAGGGTCTTGTCTACATGGTTTAATTTCAAGCCGTTTCAGAGTCGCCGCCCTGCTTTGAGTTTCAGGGAAGCAGCGCGCCGGGGCTGCACCGGAGTAACTGGATCCATCTGCGTTCACCTCTTAGGGGGTCCCAGCCCGGCTTCCCCCTGGAGATGGAGCCTCCCGAGGTTTGGGGAAACAGGGGCAAACAGAGGGGTCAGCCAGCATCAGTGGGTCAAATCAGAGCGTCCACACCGCACCCTTGCATTAGCTGCTGCACCCGAGCCCATCAGCTGCCTGGTGTTACGTCCCCCGGACCCTTCTCCCTGGGGACCCACCGACCCGCGTGGGAGCTGGCTCCCCGCCACTGAAGGTTTGCTGCCCGCCCGCCCAGCGTCAGCGGGGCCTGCCCGGGTCCTGGCAGATCGGTGTCTGCGCTGGCAAGGCCACGCGCGCCCCTGCCCCGTGTCCAGGCTCAGCAGAGAGGCCAAGGGCGGAATGGGCCATGGTGTGTGAACTCCCAGCAGGGTGGAGACGCTCGGGCAGCGTTGGTAGGTAGTGATCTCGGGCAGGGTCCGTGCAGCGCCCGACGCGACAGGGCCCTGATCTCGGGCAGGGTCTGTGCAGTGCCCGGTGGGACCCTGATCTCGGGCAGGGTCTGGGTAGCACCTGGTGGGGCTCTGATCCCGGGCAGAGTCTGGGCAGCGCCCAGCCCGGCGGGGCCCTGATCTCGGGCAGGGTCCGTGCAGCGCCCGGCGGGGCCCTGATCTCGGGCAGGGTCTGGGCAGCGCCTGGCGGGGCCCTGATCTCGGGCAGGGTCTGTGCCACGCCCGGCGTGACGGGGCCCTGATCTCAGGCAGGGTCTGGGCAGCGCCCAGCCCGGCAGGGCCCTAATCTCAGGTAGGGTCTGGGCAGCGCCCGGCGGGGCCCTGATCTCGGGCAGGGTCTGGGCAGTGCCCGGCGGGGCCCTGATTTCGGGCCGGGTCTGGGCAGCGCCCGGCGGGGCCCTGATCTCGGGCAGGGTCTGTGCAGCGCCCGGCGGGGCCCTGATCTCGGGCCGGGTCTGGGCAGCACCCGGCGGGGCCCTGATCTCGGGTAGGGTCTGGGCAGCGCCCGGCTCATCAGGGCCTCGATCACGGGTGGCACCTCCAGGCGTTACCTAACACACTCCTGAGCCACGCCAGAGGGATTCTCCCTTCCCCGCCCAGTCCTGTCACGTCTCTGTGGCAAGCCCAGGAATTGCTGATGCAGCAAAGTGAGACTCAGGGCCTCTGGGCTGGGCAGCAGGATTCCCCGGGTGGGGCAATCGCTGGGCACCTCCCGCCCCCCGGGAATGTTTCCCGGTGGCTTCTGGGAAGCTCGTCTGGGGAGAACGAAATCCTCGGCCTCACCCTGAACGGGCGCTGCCAGCGGAGCCGTGTCCCAGGGGTGCGGCTGGTTCATGCCCGGGCTCCACCTCCCACTGACCAGGGAGGTCAGGCTGGAGACGGGCCTGCAGGGACCATTGGGCAGGGCATGGGCGTGGGCAGCGGCAGGAGGGGGCCAGCGTCTCTCCAGGTGCCACCCGGCTATGGGTGGGGTGGGAAGGGGCTAGGCCTTGCCCAGTGGAACCGATGGGGGCTAGATGGCACCTGTGCAGGGCTCCTGGCAGGACACAGGGTGCCACGAACGAGCGGGATGGCGGCCTCCCGGCGCATCGGGGAGTCCCACTGGCGATGGACGGGCTGCCCCAAGGGTGCCTGTTTATCACCACAGCCCCATTGCCCGATCTGCCCCGGACGTGTGCCCCACTCTGGTGCTGCTCCCCTGGGGCCTCGGCAGCCACCCTGCTCCCTTCTCCTGGACTACGGGCTGGAGAACTGGGGCCTCCCCACCCATCCACAGGGTGCAGCCCTTTGCATTCACTTTCTGTCGGCACCTGTCCCCCCATCAGGTCTGTCCCCACGTCGCCCACCCACCCAGCCAGCTCCAGGCTCTGCTAGCACAAGGGCGCCAGGATCTCCTTGGGTGATCTCGGTTCCGCCACCAGGCGTGCGTGTGTCTCTCCACATCACAATACAGAACCGCGCGGTGTCACTTCCCTCGCTCGGAGCCCTCCACCGGCCCCTTCGCCCCATCCGGGGTTTCCTGACCCTAATCTGAGCCCCCAGCCAGCTGTAGGAACTGGGCTCTCTGGGCCGCTCAAGACATCAGCACCGCTGGGTGACCCGGGCACGGGACAGACGGATGTGTCAGCCAGTCAATAGCCACCCACCGCCGGGCCTGCTGGGGGTGGGAGCGCTCTAGAGCGTAATCCCAAACAAATCCTCCGCCAAACTCCATGGACTGGCACCCACCGGAGACCTGGCCAGAGGGGGAGGCCGCCCCGCACCCCAGGAATGATTTTGCCAAGTTCACAAAGCAAAACAAATTGCAGCCGTGCGAAAAGCAAAAGCAGTAAAAGCCGGGGGGAAGCGCCTGTTCGGGCTGCGTAATCCCTGCCTGACAAATTGCAATTTGGCAAAGTAATTGGCCGTGGTTTTCCCCCCTCCCCCCACTCCCATCTGATCCAATTCCAGAAGTTGGGAGCCTCCTGGATTGTTTTGCCAAAAGGGGGGGGGGGAAGCAACTCGGTAACTTTGCAAAATTAAACTTGGATGAAGGGAAATTTACTGTCAAGTCAGCCGGGTTTTGCTGGCCAGGGGGCACTCAGGAATTCTAGCTACAGTTGTGTGTTCCCTGTAGGCACCGAAGTTTGGTGTCCCGGAATAGCGACTCCCGCATCTTGTGGAATCGAAAAAGGATCAAGTCTTTCTAAAAGTTTGAGTGGTTTTAAAAAAACCCAAATTAAACTCATCCGGCAGGTCCTGAGACAAAGCGTCCCATAAGCAAAACCATCCCCTTGAACCAGAAACCGTTAAACTGGGCAAAATTCCTGCTCCCCCTCAAACCTGTAGTTAATATATCTATTTTTAAAGTTATTTCAAAAAAATGCATCATACCTTTGGGAGCCGGACTGGGATGGTGACTCGCGCGCCAAGGGAAGGATCCTTTTCTTTTCCTTTTTGATGTTTTCTCCCCCAAAATCGCACCCTTTGGTGCCTCGAGGCTGAAATTCCACTTTTCGGGGCACTTCGCTTCTTTCCAGGAGAAAAACGTAACATCCAGAGAAATGATTAAAAACGAAAACCCGAATCAGTGGCGATGAAGATCGTTAGCCTTCCTCTTCACAAAACTTTCCCCATCTTTCTTTTCCCTTGAAATCCACCAAAAGAAAAAGAAATGGTTAACAAAAATGTGATTTTTGTCTGCCCGACGCAGGCCGGGTTATAAATATTCCATTCGCAGACGGCAGCCCGGGACCACCTTGGAGAAGGAAGTCTTGTTTTTCTTTTAAGAAACTTTCCCGATGATTTCTTGAGTCTTTCCACATGGGAGAGCGACTCAGTGTAACGCTGCCGGGCTTTGATGCCGCGCTGGGGCTTTGGGGGAAGTGTCAGGACAGACACACAAAAAAAAATTCTCTTTCTTTGCCCCTTTCAAGTTGCGGAGCAGTTTTGCGAAGGTTTTTTTTTTTTAAGAAAAACTTTTAAGGCTGAATGTGGAGGAGGAGGGCTGAGCTCTGTGTGAGGAACTGAATTCACACAGCATGCTGTCTACAATTTCAGAGACACTTTGAAAACCTGGGATGGATCTGTGCACATACACACACACACACGCACGCACACACACAAGGCAGCAGGCAGCCAAACCCTGCTGTAAACTCACAACTTTCCCCACCCAAGTGCCATCTCGGGGGGGGGGGGGCGATTTTCACGCCCTCTGCCTGCCCGCCTGGCCTGAGAAGGCCATTCGCGGTCCTAAGTGCTGCTCTCCGGACCCCTCCGGTTCTGTGGGGCTGTATAGGAATGGAGGAGTTCGTGGGAAGAGGAAAGCGGGAGGGGGCATCAGGGCCACGCAGAAGTTTTGGGGAGACCTGAGGCAAAATCTGAACCTGAGGTCTCCCACCCTTCCAAAAAAATACCCTGGTGAGGAAGAGGCTGGGGCGGGGGCTTGGCTGGACTCCCGGTTTTGGTCGATGCCCCCTGGTGCACAGGGTCAAAGCGCCACTCGGGTTTGGGGGGGCGGCCGAGACCCCGTGCAGCAGACTGGCTCAGACTCCACGGGCTTGGGGGCAAACAGGGGGCTCTTCTCCCTGCCGCGGGGGGTGTTGGCAGGTGGAGAGGAGCCGTGGGTTGGAGCCAGTTCTCTGAGGCCTGGGGTGCCCCCCTGAGCATCACGGCAAAGGGTGTCGCCAGCGAGTGGTTCGCATGGTCGGGGTCTGGAGTGAAACATCTCCAGGGGCCGAGGTTTTCCAAAGCCTCAGGTTTGGGGCCCCCGGCTGAGACAGCAGATTTTCCGGGGGAGGCAACGAGAGGGGGCAGCGTCAGGGAAACCTCTGCCCACCCCCCACGTCCAGCCCTGCCAATGTGCTGGCCCCCATCTGGGGGGACAGGAAGCGGGGGAGGCACCTTCCCTCACTGGCCTCTCTGCTGGGGCTGCCAGCAAAGGGTCCCCAGGAAATGGTGTCGCATTTGACCTTAAAACTCTCTATTTTTGGGGGGGTCTCGGAAAGGGGAGGGGACTACGCCTGGGGGGGGCCCCCTTTTGTTGGCTGTCAATCTGGCAGAGACGTGGGTCATTTATGACATGCCCGTGATGCGAGCCAGCTCTGGATTGTGCCCGGCCCCGGCCCGGGGGAGCCACGAATCCTGGACGGGCGAGGCGATGTCACCCCATGGCACGATGACCTCACAGGGCCCACGATGATGTCGGGCCCCAGGGAAATGATGTCACGCTCGGTGTGGGGGGGTGCCGAGAGCCCACGTGATGATGTCATGCCCTCAAGGTCGCGCTCCAGTGAGCGAGGTCACCTCATGGCGTGGGGTCACGCAGCGCCGTCCTGTCGCCGTGGCACGTCACGCGGTGATGTCACGCCGTTGTCACCTCGTAGTGTGATGTCACGGGGTGATGACGCAATCTACCTGCGCGCTGGGGATGTAAACGCCGGGCTGGGGTCAGCCAAGGGGCCGGACATGCAAAGCCGGTGACCCCGACCTGCTGCTCCGGGCCTGGCCGCCCCCTCGGGGCTCTGGCGCAGCTGGGCCTGGCCGGCCCCCACTTCCCCATGGGAGCTGGGGGCACATCTCTCCCCCCTCCAAGGCTACCCCCCACAGTTCTCCCCCCCACAGCTCTCTGCCCCCCCCAGCTCACCCCCCCAAGCCTCACCCCCCCTCAGCTCTACACCCCCAAGACTTACCCCCGCAGCTCTCCCAAGGCTCACCCCCCATGGTTTCCACGCCCCCATCCCTTCTCATGGTTCACCCCCATCCCCCAGCTCCCCACAACCCCCCTCATACGGTTCCCCTGCCCCCCACCCTCAGGGCCTAGCCAACCTCCCACAGATAACTCCACTCACCGCAGTGGGGGGGTTGCTGGATTCCCCCCTGGGATCCGGGGAGGTTCCTGGCCTGGGGGAGACGGGCCAACATGGCTCCTTTAGGGCCTGTGATGGGATCGGGAGCCTGAGCCCTGGAACGGCCTGGAGCGGGGACTGTGGTGGGGTCAGTCAGACTGGGGATAGAACCCAGGAGTCCTGACTCCCAGCCCTGCCCCCGCTCCAACTACTAGACCCCTCCCTCCCCCAGCCAGGGATAGAACCCAGGAGTCCTGACTCCCAGCCCTGCCCCCGCTCCAACTACTAGACCCCTCCCCCAGCCAGGGATAGAACCCAGGAGTCCTGACTCCCAGCCCTGCCCCTGCTCCAACTACTAGACCCCTCCCTCCCCCAGCCAGGGATAGAACCCAGGAGTCCTGGTTCCCAACCTGCCCTGCTCTGACCACTAGACCCCACTCCCCTCCCAGATCTGGAAGACAGGGCCCAAGTTCAGGCTCATGGAGGTTCCGGACACAGGCACCCTCCCAGTTTGGGGGGGGGGTAGTTGCAGCAGGTGGGGTGTGTTGGAGACAGGAAGGGGGGGTCGACTGGGTTAGAGCAGCGGGGGCTGGGAGCCAGGACTCCTGGGTTCTCTCTCAGCTCTGGGAGGGGCGTGGGGTCTAGTGGTCAGAGCAGGGCGGGTTGGGAACCAGGACTCCTGGGTTCTGGAAGGGGCATAGGGACCCCTAGAGCATACGCACACGCAGCCTCCAGTGCTCCCCATATCAGGGATTCCCGGCACGGAGGATTTTAGAGGCTGCCTATCCAACCTCGCTACCCTCCTCCCGCTCCAGTTCCCCACCAGATGCTACTGTACAGCTCGGCCTCTAGCGTCCCCGGATTGTGCCAGGTGAGAGCTTGGCTAGGGACCAGGGCCGGGTCTCGTCTGCACTACACTTTGCAACTGGGTGGAAACGGGTCTGGCTAACGGGCCAGGCAGGGCCTGAGAGCTCAGATCTAGGACCCAGCTCCTGTAACGTGACCCTGCACTCAGCCCTCACCCACCCAGATCCCAGCTGCTCCATCCAGGGCTGGGCATGGACCGGCCCCCCTGGCCCAACCAGCCCTGCGGGGAACGTGGGACCAGCCATAACGCTGCCGTGCCAGCCCCACCCCGCTCGCTCCCAGACCTCAGGGCGTCAGGCGGCCGTGCGGCCCCCCAGTATCCGGCTGGTCCCTTTGCCGAGAGGAGCCCAGGATGCTAAAGCCCCGAGCGCGGGGAGGTTACCTGCTGGGCGCCGGGCTCACAGGATTGAGACCACGCTGCCTGGCATCACCACGGGGCACTGGTCTCCCAGCCCCATCCTGCCGCTGAGCCACCATCCCCTTGCTGGTGCCCCGCACTGGAAGGGACTGTCACTCCCCTGCACGTGCCTCAGTTTCCCTATCCCCTGGCTGGCTGTTGCACATTGTGGGGCAGGACTCTTCCTCACCGTTCAGAGAGCAGAGCCAGACCCAGCCTGCTGGTGGATTTCCCGGAGTGGGGGGAGCCTGGGGCCCAGGATGCGGAGGGGGGGCAGATGCCCCACAGGCCATCTGAGGTGGTGTTTCCCCACAGGGTCCCCTGGACTGGAGGGAAGCATGGAGCCTATAAAGCGCGCTGAGGCCAGGGGGAGCAGGGGCTGCGGGGGTGACGCGAGTGAGCATGGGTCTCTGGGACAGGTAACACTCTGCCTAGACCTTCCCGAGCTAGCACCGGGCTCAGGTCGCCCCTTCCTCCCCGCGCTGGCATCGGGCTCCGGTCGCGCGTCCCTCCCCGCGCTGGCACCAGGCTCCGGTCGCCCGTCCCTCCCCGCGCTGGCACCGGGCTCCGGTCGCGCGTCCCTCCCCGCGCTGGCACCGGGCTCCGGTCGCCCCTTCCTCCCCGAGCTGGGTCCGGGCTCCAGTCGCGCATCCCTCCCCGCGCTGGCACCGGACTCCGGTCGCCCTTCCCTCCCCAAGCTGGCACCGGTCTCCCCGCTGTGCCTGCCCCCCGGGGAACGCCCCTTGCAGACTGACTGGTCTTGGTTCCTGGACACACCGACCCCTTCCCCAGCCCACCAGGCGGCCTGCTCAGGGCTCGGTCTGGGAGTCACTGCTCGGTGGCAGGGATCATCCTGCCCACAGCTCCCTCCTGCCCCTGCTCTGGGGGCATTGGACTGAGCAGGGCCCAGGGTGCCCCCCAAATCCACGAGGGGTATGTGACGGGGGCTCCGGCTCCAGGGGGGTCAGGGTGCTAGGGGCTGTTCGGGCGCCGTGGGGCCCGCCCCCGTTTGCAGGCCGGACGCATGGCCGGCCAGGGCCCCAGGAGGGCGCTAGCAACCGCTGCCCGAGCCAGCCCCAGCCAAAGTCGAGAGCCACGTTGCGGGTTGCTGGGTGAAGGGTGAGCAAACAGCAGGTGCCGGGGTCAGGCTCCCACGGGGCTGTGGGGGGAGATTCGGGGCCAGCTGCCGCTTGGGTAACTCCGGCAGGGGATTGCAATTCCCATCACCTCCAGACCTGCCAATCCAGCCAAGGCCAAACTGTTCCCAGCAACCGGGACATGTCCCATCCAGCCCCTCCATGGGAGCTGGGGCACTGCTCACTTACTCATGGGGCTGGACCAAGCCCCCAGGCAAGTGGGACAGCCTGAGGGGGGAGGGAAACAGCCACAGGGACAGGTGGGGAAACTGAGGCAGAGTGAGGCCATCCAAGGAGCCTGCATCCGAGCTGGGCCTGGAACCCAGGAGTCCGGGCTCCCAGTCCTATGATCAGCCCGCCCCTCCCCTCCAAGGCTGGGAAGAGAACCCAGGCGTCCTGGCACCAGGGTAATGACCCACCCTTGCGGGGCTTATTTTTAGCCCAAGGTGGCCCTGCACCCACCGGGCTGTTGCTGTGGCGACCAAATGCGGGGCAAAGGGCCCAGAGCCAGTGTGGGGCAGGATTCCCGGCGGGAGGGGTCTGCTTGGGGGCCAGACCCCAGAGCTGGGACTGACCCTGCCCCGTTCACCCCCCGCCCAGTAACTCCCCACCCCCCGATTTCAGAAATTCCGTTCAGGGAAACTTTCCCAGCCCCACCAGCAGGGCCAGAGGGCGAGAGAGGTCGACCCCAGGAGTGTTTGGGGGGGCACGACCCCCCCGGGACGGGGTCACATGCTGCATTTGGGGGTCTGCTATCCCCCCCCCCCAGCTCTGCCGGTGCCCCTCACCCCCGACCCGCAGCCCCTGCTAGCCCAGCCCTGGGCTC